TCTTTCTGATGGAAGCATAGAATTCCATTGTGCATATACACCACATTTTCTTGATCCATTCATCTACTGAGGGGCATCTGGATTGATTCCATATGTTAGCTATGGTAAATAATGCTTCCATGAACTTGATTATGCTGGTTGGTTTGGTGTTGTCTTATTTGTGGTCATTTGGGTAAATGTCCAGGGAGTGGGATTGCTGGGTCATAATGGAGCTCTAGGTTTAGTCTTTAGCTAAACCTCCATACTTCTTTGTAGATTTGTTGAACAGTTTACTTTCCTACCAACCGTGTAGTAGCATTCTCTTTTGGCCACATCCCCCTAGCATCACTTATTAGTTTTCTTGATAATGGCCATTCTAACTGGAATGAGGTAGAATTTCCATGTTGTTTTGATTTACATTTCTGTTGTGGCCAGAGATGTTGAACATCTCGTCATGTCTATAGACCATTCTTATTTCTTCTTCAGAGAAGTCTCTCTTTAAGCCTTTAGCCCACTTATTAATGGGGTTGTTTTTTCTTTGGGGATTTGTTTTTGAGGGATTTAAATTTTTGAGCTTTAGTTGTACTTTGGATATAAGGCTCATGTCTGATTTATTGCTAGCAAACATCTTTTCCCAGTCTGTTGGTTTTCTATTTATCCTCCTAGCTATGTCCTTTGCCATGAAGAAACCCTTCAGATTAATGTAGTCTCATTTATCCAACCATTCTTTGATTTGTTGTGTTTCTGGATCTTTCCTTAGGAAGTTACTACCTGTGCCAAGGAACCCTAGTATTGCTCCTATCCCTTCCTGTAATATTTTCACTTTATCTGGCCTTCCACTAAGGACTTTGATCCATTTGGAATTGATTCGGATGCAGGGTGATATGTAAGAATATTAACGTCTATTTTCTGTACATAACTGATTCTAACAGCACCACTTCTTTTCTCTTCTTTTCTTTTCTTTTTTCTTTTCTTTGCTTTTGTCAGTCACAGGGTTTGAACTCTGGGCCTGGGCACCGTCCCTGTACTCTTCAGCTCAAGGCAAGCACTCTACCTCTTGAGCCACAGCACCACTTCCAGTTTTCTAGTAGTTTATTGGAGATCAGAGTCTCAGGGACTTTTCTGCCCAGGCTGACTTTGAACTGTGATCCTCAGGCCTCAGCCTCCTACGTAGCTAGAATTACAGGTGTGAGCCACCAGTGCCCAGCTAACAGCATCTTTTCTTGAAGAAGCTTTTTATCTTCCATCCTGTGTTTCTGGTTCCCTTATCAAAGATTATGTGGCTGTAGGTCTCTGGGTTCATTTATGTGTCTTTAGTTCTGTTCCATTGTTCCTCAGGGATATTTGTGTGCCAGTACCAAGCTGTTTTTATAACTACGGCTTTGTATTAGAGTTTGAACTTTGGTATTGATATTCCTCCAACACTTCTTCCTGCTAAGGATTTTTTTTTTGTTGGTCATGGGGCTTGAACTCTGAGCCTTGGCAGTGTCCCTCAGCTCTTCAGCTCAAGGCTTGAATCACAGTACCACTTCTGGTTTTCTAGTGGAAAATGCCTGTGCTGGTATTGTACCAGAATCCTCAGATCTCAGCATCCTGAGTAGCTAGGATTACAGATATGTGCCACTGGCACCTCGCTTAAGGACTGATTTTGCTACTTGGGATCTTTCATTATTGTATATGAATTTTTTGATTGCTTCCTCTATTTCATTAAATAATGATGTTGGGACATTGATGGATATTTCATTGAATTTGTAAATGGCTTTTGGCAATATTGCCATTTTCATTATGTTAATCCTCCCAATCCCAGATCATGGGAGGTGTTTCTTCTTCCTTAAGTCTTCTTTAATTTTCTTTTTCAGATTTTTAAAATTTTGTTTCTTTAGAAAATCTAGAGTATGTTCTATTCCAGAGATCCTAACTTCTGTGTCATCGAATCTGTTGTCAAGACTCTCCATTTTTATTTTCCTGCCTTCAAACTGGTCATTTTTGATTTCTTCAATTTATTTATTAAAGCTTTATTTTAGGTCATGTATGGAAGATTTGTGTTTCAGTGTCTTCTCTCATATCCTTTTGCTAAGTGACTATGTTGTCTTTGGATTCCCTTTCCTTCTCTTGGAATTCATTCAGCTTTCTGTTTGTGGATTCCATGAATTCCTCTATTAATCTTTAAATAGCCTCATCATGCTCATGCATAGCCACGTGCAGGCTTTCAATCTTCTCATTCAACTTATTTACCAGCAGTGTTTTTAAAACATTTTGAGAACTATTCTCAAGTCTTTCATTGACTGCTCTATTGCCTTTTTATTTTGAGTGGAAGTTGAGGTTCCTTTACTTGCCATTTTCTTTGTGTTTCTACAGCTCGTTCTGCCCATTTGAAAACAAAAGCAAATCCAATACCACAGCAGAACACAATTTTAAGACAAACCAACCCAGAGCCCTGTAATTGCACAGACATTAGAGGTTCAAAATAATAATTAAGTATTCCCTTATCTAACTCTCCTTTTCTTTGTTTTGGGAAGGGTATTGTGGTTCAGGAGTAGAGATTATATATAGTTGTTGCCAGTGAGAAAAATCCGTTGTGAGCAATAAAACAATCCGAACCAAAAGAATGATAGGATGAGCCACTTAAGCACAGTCAAAATGAAAACTAATACAGTCTAACTCACAAACATTTAGCCTATAAATACATGAAGAAATGCTTCACATCCCTAGTCACAAAGTGAATACTAACCACAATTCTACCCAGATTCTGACTATCCCTGTTTGTTTATTTAGTTTGTTTATTTGTTTTGGTGCCAGTTCTGGGGCTTGAACACTGTCTCTGAGCTTCTGTTTCCAAGGGTAGAGCTCTACTACTTGAGCCACATATCCACATTTGGCTCTTTGGTGATTAAGTAGAAATAAGACTCTCATGGACTTTCTTATTCAGGCTGGCTGTGAAGCTTTGATCTTCAGATCTCAGATACCTTACTAACTAAGATTAGGATTACACCTTGCCTCATATCATTTCTATAATGCCAGATTTCCAGGATTAAGTGACCATTACTACAGAGTGAAGGAAGTGGGGGACAGGATGGACCTGCAGGCTACCAGTCTTTTACTTGAGCCAAAGCTCCATTTCTAGTTTTTTCTGGTTAACTGAATATACATATTTCATGGAGATTTCTGCATAGTAGCTTTGAACCAGGAACCTCACCTCTGAGTTTCCTGAGTATAAAGAATGACAGGGGTGAAACATCAACCACCATATCTGTAGTGGGTTTTCTTGAGACAGGCATCTACCACTTGAGCCATACTTCCACTTTCAGCTTTTTGCTACCTAATTAGAGATGTGCCTCAATGATCTGTCAGCCAAGCTACAGTTATAGGACTGAGCCATTGGTGCAAGTATCATAATCCTGTTCAAGAGGAAAACTCTTAAGGACCCTAAGTGTTCAATGAAGAATGAAGATACCTGGTTGTTGGCTCAGACACCTGGAGACAGCTGCATCAGATCACCAAGTTCCTTAGTGGTAAGAAGCCACTAGGCCTTTCTCATAAAGGTGGAAAGATCAGTATTGAATAGGTGTTGAAAGATCAGTGCTTAGACAGAGGGCAGAGCACTGCTGATCCCACATGAGACAGTATAGCTGGCTTCTATCCAAGGAAAACAGGACTCCTTGGCTTGGATCTGGCAGGACAACTTCTTTCAAGCAGATCAACTTCTGGGTCTCCATCCTATATCACAGTCACTCAGCATCCTAAGAAGGCCATCTTCATTGAGGAATGGAGATAGTCAGCTGTTTCCCTCCCCTCATTTTTCCTGTAGGCCTAATAATCAGGAGGAACAGATCTTGATGCATAACTTGCTAAGTTGGTATTCCCACACTGTCCTTTGGGAATTTTCATTCACTGATGCCAACTCCCTTGTTTTCTTCTCCCTCCACCTATTATGAATTTATAAAAGTATCTGGAAAATATTAGTTGATTTTTTAAAAGAATTATACTACAAAATAAAGTGCTATCCCACTTTTTTCTAAATCTGATAGTCTAGCACAAAGAAATCCCACAGTTTGCACTCTAAATTGGTATCATATCCTCCAATAACAATCACAGGCAGTAGATTTGTTATGATCTTCCTGCTCTCTAGCAGGCCACCTAAACACTCACCCAACATTTTTTTTTTAGCAATACCAGTTCCAGTTGGACAGAAATTTAAAACAAAAATTTCAACAACTTAATTAATATAAAATCAGAAACGATGATACCGGTTCTGTCAGTACAATGAAATAAAAGGAAAGCATGGTAAGAAACACTGTGCAGCCCGAACCTGGGTTCTTGCGAAGTGGTAGAGCTGATCTTGGGGAGCAATGGGGCCCTGGGCACACCAACTATCTGCCCCACAAACCTGACCACACAATCGTCCCCCATACCACTCTTACCTGCAATACCGTCCACGGGAGCCACCTAACCATCCACGTTGCTCTCATCGGCTGCACCAACTGACCCTTTTACTGCATTGTTGCTGCTCTCAGAGAGCAAATGTCTCTGAAATGGCTGTTTCGTGGAGCAGTTGGGTTCCTATGACCTGCTGCCCAACAGCCATGGAGAAAAGCTCATTGCCCCAGCCTGGTCAGGATCCAGCACTGGATTGGTTGTGGAGCTCACTTCTCTATACCTATGGAAAAACTTCTAGGTCTTTCTGGTTTTTTCCCTCTGCCTCCTATGATGGTTACAAATGCTGAGAGACTGCGAAGGAAATGAGCACATGAAGTTTTCTTAGATTCTCAGAAAACAGAGCTGAGGCTCCAGAAACAAAACAAACTGACTTCAGTTTACATAGTGATTACAGAATCAAAGTATTCTAAAGTACTTGTGCATAGAGCTGGTTTTGTTAGTTTGGAGGTCAATAAAAGTCACCCATCCTCTTCTGCCCTGACTTGAACAAGGGCATAACAGCTCTGTGTGGTTGCTAATTATGTTTTTCTGCTTTTATCTTGGAAAAACCTATATTTGTGGGTAGAATTGGACATTTGGGTCCACAGGCAGCCTTACAATTTGTTGCCTTCCAAGTCTTTCTCACTTCACAGGTCCCAGCCAGTATTCCTGGCCTACTTAAATGTTTCTTTGGTCACTCATGGTCATCTCACAAGAACCAACACAGATACCCTGCTTATTTTTGTATTGGGAGGTTTATATTGTTTTCTTGGCACATAAGTGTACCTTTACAAAGATAATGAAAATTGTTTTGGGCTATAATAGCTTAGTTTTTAAGAATGAAGATTTATGTGTGGAAACATTACAGCAAATCATGTTTGTACAGTTAATATACCTTAATAAAGAATTAAAAAGTAAATTGTAATGAAGAAGTACTGTGTACAAGAATGCCAGGAATGGTATTTGATGAGTATATGGTGAGAAAGAATAGGTGGCAGGATTTCCTAAATGTCAAAAGCTGCCCCCAGAAACATTCGTTGATCCCTGAACTTTTGTAGTTCAAAATGCTTGAGTCTTAGTTGGGTGCCACATGGATACACAGTCATAAATATCTCCTAAGATACTTTCAACACTGTACTATATTTTTTCTGATTTTTCTTGTGTAATTGATCCTATAGTATTTTTTCTTTTATATTAATTGTACAAAAATAGTGGGGAACTTGTTTTTCCCCCTAAAGTCTTCTCTGAAAAAAATGTTGCTAGCAAAATTTGTGTAAACTATTTTCATTTCCACAGAATTGATGTGAGAAGACTTTTTAAGAAGGAAGCATTGGGCATAGGTCTGAGTACGTAAGAGCAAACACACAGGCAATATCAGAGTGTGGTCTTCCTTGATCAATGTGTCATTCATAAGGCTCAGCGATCACTTATTCCTTGCATGGGAGGCTCATAATCCGCCTGTATCTCCTAGTTCAACATTTTCACATGTAAAAACCGTCTCCTGATGAAAGATGCTGGCATTTCAGCACTCTGTGACAAAATGGGGAACTGCATTTGTGAATCCTTTTTTTTGTGCTGGTGCTGGGCCTGGAACTCAGTCAGGGTCAATGTGCATTCGTTTAGCCTTAGAGTACCAGTCACAACCCTCAGGCCTCTTCCCAAATAACTAGGTTTAGAATGATGAATGGCTAATGCCTGGACATTTGAAAATATTTTATCAATAAATTGCATTAATGTTCTAATGTATATACTTCTAATTGTACCAAATACCTGTCTGTTTTTCTTATGCCACGTAATCCTAAAAAATCACTTTGATGCAAATGATAAAAGATGAAGGACTTACATGTTGAAGTATGGTTTCATACAAGATTCTCCATAAAGAAAGTATGAGTAAACACTGCTAGAATACTCAAATCACCATGACTCCCCATTGTGGATGTCTCTGGTGCAGGATGAGGTTGTGCTATTATGTGAGCTTCCTGATAAGTCAGAGTGTCATTTCCATTCATGACATTAGTGACTCTGTGGTGGCTGTGGTTCCACAATGAGGCCTTGGTATCAACAGACATAACTCAGCTATTGAGTGTCCACATTACAGTGATGCCCGCTATTGCCCAAAGGAGCATCTCATGTCCCAGACAGGGAAGTCCTGAGATGACAGGAGCAGAATGTTGAGAAGTTCACTCCTGGTGTGGTCACATCTAGCATCAGCCCTAACAGGATGTTCCTTGGATTATGCTTTTCTGCTGTGGACAGGTGGGGAAAGCCTGGGGTGGGCTCTGCTCCTTCAGGAAAGCTCAGGTTTTAGTCAGTGCTGGTCAAGGGAGTCTGCAATCTTCCATTTTCTCTTTCTACAATAAGCTTATTAACATGGAAAGGAAAGAAACAGTTCTCATACTTTGTTTTACTCTTTTAAAATTTTGTATTGAGCCACATCCCAATTGCTCATGCCTGTAAACCTAGTTACTCAGGGGTTTGAGAACTGAGGTTTGAGATACGAAGTCAGCTTGGGAAGGAAATTCCATGTGTCTGAATCCAATAAACAACCAAAAAGACAGATTTGGAGCTGTGGCTCAAGTAGTGGAGCATGAGCCTGGGGTGAAAAAAGCTCAGGGACAGTACTCAGGCCCTGAGATCAAGCCCCAGGACTTGCTCTCTCTCTCTCTCTCTCTCTCTCTCTTTCTCTCTCTCTCTCTCTCTCTCTCTCTCATACACACACACACACACACACACTCAGACACAAGTTTTCATTATATCTATGCACTTACCACACACACATGATGATCTTACTTTACAGAAGGCAGTATGGAAGGTCAATCAAAAGGTTGGCTAATCCTAGGACACAGAATTTCATGATTAAAATTTTGGGGAGAATTGCAAAACAGCCTGGGTTTAACAAAAGACCACCAATCCCAAGCCACACAAAAGTCAAAGTCCATGCTCAACAAAGACAATATTTCTTCTTAGGCCTAAGTCCTGGGTGTAGAGTTCTTTGTTGGTGTAAGATGCAACAGTTGTCATAGGCTAGGAAATATATGACAAGAGTGTACTTCAAAGAAGGGGAAATAAAAGTTCATATGTCTGAGGGTTTGGATGACTTTGGGTTAAGTAGCTCCTGATCCATCCTTGATCAGTGATGTGCTGTAAAGATGAAGGCATGGCCCCTGCTTGCCTTAGAGTCCTCCCATGTTCAATGACATAATTATACCCCAGTACCAGGGATACTCAGTACCAGAGGAGAAATGAGGGTATTTGAGAGTAGACTTGGATTATGAAGTGTGTGTCAGAATCATTTGGGAATGACTGATTAGGGCCAAGTGAGTCACAGCCACCAAATGTCTTATGGAAAGTTCTCAGGACAGCGAAGCAGGCAGAAGTGAAACTTGGGCACAGCATCTGTTGAGGATGTCTCTGTGGTTCATTGGTCTAGCCACTGTTGCCACCATCGCCTTTACTGGTCCTCCTCTCTCTTCACAGGAAGCCTCACTATGAGCTCAGTGAGTTCATTCACTATTAGTTACTGTGACCTTATTTCCAGGAGCTGTCACCCAGCAGTCACCAGGTTAGCATTTAGGTATGTGATCTATCCAGCAGTGATTCACATGAACTGAGAAGATTTTAAGTATATAGAATTGTGTATTGTCATCAATTTATATTCAGTTATTCTCATGAGTGTTTCCATTGTTTTACAAAACTTCATTAGTATGAAGCTAAATTTGCTGAAATGAGCATTCTGATAAACTATATGTTTGTATAGGATAATATGTTTTAAACATATGTTCCTATGTGTTCTAGCTAAAGACTACAAAAGAAAATATCAATTTAAAAGACTCTAATACAAGATTTTATATTAAAATCATGGAATTTTATATACCTATGACATGGATCAGTATCAGCTTCCCACACAGCAGACAATAAAATAATCCAGTTATTTTAAAAGTCAAAGTATAGCAGTTTTCCACATATATCTCTGAGTCATAAGAAGCATGCCTGTCTTGATAGTTTTAGTCATTCACAGAAATCATTGAAAAGAGTCCTAAAAATACAGACAAGTATAATTCAACAGAGCATTCAGTTCTAGTAGCCTTAGTATTTCATTATGATAAAAAAGTGCTTAATCTTTGCCCATGTTTCCCAGGAAGAGGTCTCTCTTTCTATTCTGACCTGTCTAAGGAAGACTTTAAATACAAATAGGCACAAGCATTCGGCATAAGAAGATAGCAGTAAAGGTTTGACAATCTAAAGGAAAATACCAAAAGCAAACACTTTTGTGTGCAGTTTCAGAGAACACAATGAGGATGTGGGGCTTCAGCAACCATACTGAAACCTACTCTACCTACCCACGTAGATCACAGATTGTTTTTTTCTTTGTTGGTCATGGGGCTTGAACTCTACCTGGGTGCTGTGTTTGAGCTCTTCAGCTCAAGGCAAGTGCTCTACCACTAGAGCCACAGCGACACTTCCAGTTTTTTGGTGATTAATTTGACATAAGAGTCTCAGGGACTTTCCTGCCCAGGCTGGCTTTGAACCACGATCCTCAGATCTCAACTTCCTGAGTGGCTAGGATTACAGGCTTGAGCCACCAGAGCCCAGCTGTTCACAATTTTCATACCCAGTAATGGAGTCAAGGAAATGTGAAAGTCATCAGGAGTGAATGTCTTTATTCTTGAGTAGTGTGCATATTTCTAGTCCCCATAACTGGAAAGTCAGAAGGAAGGATTGAAGTAATGGATAGGAGTAACTTTCCCAAAGTAACATTTACAAAATATTTTTGTAACAATGCATTTTTTCAGATACATCCCTGCACAGGGGTAAGCTGAGTCTGTTTTCTGATTGTCCTGCAAATGGGTGAAAGGTTGGTTTCAGAGAAAAATACTATGCAAGTCCATTTCAATGTTAGGGTATGGAAAGGTGTGCATCCTGCATGCAGGCAGGGAGCGTGCTGAGGAAAATGCTTGGCCACCTGGGTGCGGGGCTGTGTTCAGCTCCTGGTCAGCGCCGGGGTGCAGCCAGGGTCCCACTGCCTGTGAAGCAACTTCTCCTGTGAGCAGGGATAAAGACGGGCGTCCTGGTCCCAGTGGAAGGATCGAGTTTGGAGGCCACTGCAGAGTAACCTGGCCGCGGGGAGACCAAGGAGTAAGGGGAAAGAGAAGCCTTGGGCCTTGACAGTCCCCAGACATAAGCACTGGTGTTGGCCACAGGACAGACTGTGGACTCTTCCCTGACCACCCGCCTGGAGTCAGGACAAGCAATGAGGAAAGTGCTGTCAATCTTGATGCTAAGAAATCAGGTCAGCAGAAGTCAAAGCAGGCATTGGGAAAAATGCTTCCCACAGCTCGATGCATTAACTTCTTCCCTCTTCAGTAAGGAGTGAAAACAAGATGTCAGTGGTTCAAGACTATAGTAGATACTTGGGAGGTGGATATTGAATGAATCACATTTTGATCCCACTGAAGTCTGGTGGCTGTGGTGTGGAATTGGGGGAAGGAGGAAGATTAGAAGTGATTTTTTAAGTTGATGCTTAGGGCCTCAGTGATCCTCAAAAAGGAGAAGAGTACTTGGGTTGGACACACCCAGATGCTGGAATCTTCCATGGGCTGGGGAGGGAGGAGCATGGTGGTGATAGTGGGGAATGGAGCTGTCAATCTTGACTGGTCACAATCTATTCTGCAGGAAAACACAGCTGGAGTTGGGGACCTGAGTTGTAGGGTCTAACTGCTCTGTGAATAAACTTCTCTTCAATGACTTGAGCAGTAATAAATGCAGGAAACTGATGGTTAAAAATGCAACGGTAACTAATTAGGAGGCTAAGAGCTGAAGGTGCCTTTTCTGAGTCCACTGTGTTGTCAGGTGTCTGCAGTGAGGTGGAGGAGGAAGGATAATAGGAAAGAGATAATCGTTTAGCCTTTACTGAGCCAAGGAGGGGATGACTAATGTCCAAAGTACAGGTGATGGATTCCTTCATGAACATAGGAAAGGAGAGCGGGGCCCAAATGAGGATCTTGCCTGGCATTCTTGACTTTGTAGGATCTGTTCAGCAGGAAGTCAGAGAAGGACTCTTGGAGGAGTTAGTATTACTACCCTTTGAATTATTCTCTTTCTTATGCAGATAGCAGTACTAGGAGATAGATGCCATCCTGGTGACAGTGGCTCATACCTGTCATCCTAACTGCACAGTAGACTGATATCTGAGGATTGGGGTTCAAAGTCAGCCTGGACAGAGAAATCCCTGAATGTTTTCTCTTGGGAAAGTCAGAAGTGGAGCTATGGCTCAAATGTTAAAGTGTCAACCTTGATCCAAAATGTCAAGGGACAAAATCTAGTCCCTGAGTTCAATCCCTAGTGCAGGAACAAAAACAAAAAAACAAAAAAAAACAAAACTGGGACTACATTGGGTACTGGAGTTAATGAGAGTTTGAGGAAGGCCTTTTGAGGGCACACTAGAGTAATTTGGTGGTGGTGGTGACAACAGGTAGGATGAACAAGAGTTCTGCTGGAGACACTGACTGAACCCCAGCTGTGGGCAGGAAGCTAGTAGGATGGGGTGGGCAGCTGGTGAGAAAGATGCCTAGAATGCAGGAACTGTTCTACAGCTGTGAGGACTGGTGAGGCAGAGGGCAGAGAGAGGTTCTTATTGTTGTGTTATACTCCACTTGACCTTGAGCAGTTAAGGAATAAACACAAAATGTAAACTGTACCACTTGCTGTACTCATAGCTGCCTAGGACACTGAGAGTAAAGAATCACTTTTTGAGGATAACCTCGTTAAGAAATTTAGCCAGACTCATATCTCAAATCAATCTGCAAATACCTGCCCTGGTGGTATGCCTCAAGTGGTAGAACACCCAACTAACAGACTAGAGACTAGAGACTAACTGTTCAAAGCCCAGGCTAGAAAAACAAGAGATGTCCTGCTAGAACAAATAGAACAAATACAAGGAGGATTGGAGGACACTGTTCCATCCAGGAAGCCATGTTGTTGGCAAAGGGGCCTGGGTAAATGTAATGTAATAAAAGTGGTACTGGTTCCACCTTGAATTTTCTTTCTTCTTGCTGTTTTTATTGCTTCATCCATGATTACAAACCAAGCCTCATTGATAAAATCAAAAGCCATTATCAGTTAAGGCTACAAAGAATATATTACAAATAACTGATTTGTAAAATGTGATTTTCAACATTTTTAAGCAAGATAAATTTGAATAAGGCAAAAGATGTGTGCCATAAGAATTAAGGGTATTTTGTGCCTAATTCAGGTATGTTTACCATGTTTTTTTATTGAAAAGTGTGCATGTTTACAATTGCTGCATGAAATGTTGTTAATGTATCTCCACAATTTGTAAAAATTAGAAGTCAAACTTTTATGACTGGATTTAATGAATATTATTGTCTATGAGTTGCATTTTCCTCATATCAGTGTCTTACCATAAAAGAGAAAGAAATCACATAGTGCATTATAAATAACAACAACAAAGAAAAACCTCATGCTGTTTACTTACAGCTAATGCTCTTCTACTTTGAACCACAGTACCATTTCCAAATTTCTGGTGATTAATTGAAAATAAGAGTCTCAGGGCCTTTCCCGCTCAGGCTGTCTTTGCATAGTGATTATCAGATCTCAGCCTCCTGAGTTACTTGTATTATAGCCACGAGCCACTGGCACCTGGCCTCATATTTTTAAAGTGGATTTTTAAGAAAAACTAACCTCAAATTTAGAAAATCTAGGGCTGGGAAGGTGGCTCAGTGGTAGAATGCTTGCCTTGCATGCATGAGGCCCTGGTTTCAACTCCACAGCACCACATAAGCAGTAAAACTGGAAGTGGAGCCATGGCTCAAGTGGTAGAGTGCTAGCCTTGAGCTGAAGTGCTGAGGGACAGCACCCAGGCCCAGAGTTCAGGCCCCAAGACCAACAAAATTTTTTTTTAGAAAAATCTAAAGTAAAGTCAGCCAAGCCCACCATTTCTTCAATGAAAACAGCATTTGTAAGGAAAACATTTGTGAGCACAAAGCCTGCATAAGGCACCCATTCCCTGATAAAAAGTTTTCTTGAGTATCATTAGTAAGAACATCTATTAATTTCTTTAAATCTTGCTTTCTTTATTCTCCCCATGTGGTAATGATTAATTGGTATGTCTCATGCTGCCTGTACACTGGATTTCTTCATGGTAAGTTCTATGTACCACCCTTAGGGCTAAATACCACTTTATTTCTACAAGAGAGTTTACTTTCACCACTCTAGTCACTATCAGAGATGCAATAGGTTCCACGATTTTTCATTTAACATAGCATACAGTTAGACAAAAATATTGCTGGAATGTTCTCAAGGAAGCTAACTTCAGATGACATTGATAGATAATGCTCACACACCACACCGTTCAATACATGAAAATGCAGTGTGGTTTGTCCTCAGGCTATCCTTTAGAAAAGTTACAGAGATTTCATAACAGGGAAATAAACAAATGAAGTGTGACCCCATATATTGAAAGTGTAGCTTTAGCCAGGGACCACTGGCTCACGCCTGAAATCCTAGCTACTCAGGAGGCTGAGATCAAGGCTCACAGTTCAAAGCCAGCCCAGGCAGGAAAATACGTAAGACTATTATCTCCAATAAACCACTAGAAAACTGGAAGTGGATCTGTGGCTCAAGCGGTAGAGTGCTCGCCTTGAGCTGAAGAGCATAGGGACAGCGCTCAAGCCCAGAGTTCAAGCCCCACGACGGACCAAAAAAAAAAAAGTGTAGCTTTAAAAGTAGATCAATGTTCCTAAATAAAGCAGTATTTAAAACATCCTATATATTTTTACTTTGGATATTCATGTAATTGAATCTCTGTTTCAGTTTTGAAGAGTAGCAAAAGAAATACCCTCACATTGATTTCATTTAGCTTTATCAGTTGTTAATAGTTCTTGGTTTCTTATCTTCCTCTTTTCCATGTCTCCCTTACTCCTCCCCCTTTGTACACATATGAACTCATGTACACATTTTCATCACTTGCTCTTAAAGTTTCATATATTATGAATCTTCACCCCAACCATTTTGTTAAATTAACAGTGAGAAAGTACAGTAATTGAGGTTAAAATCTGTGTTGATATTTTCCTACTTGTATTTATAATTTCTGGTACAGGAATATTATCTGAACCAGAGTCTAGTTGTGAATGTGGCATTACATTTACTGGTAGTGAACAATTACTCTGTTTAATATGTACCAGACCCTTAGTTTTTCAAAAGCTCTGTTTCTTTTGATAACACAGGAAAGTTTCATCAGTCCACTTCTGAGAATCATTCACTAATTTGTCCCTACTTTTTAATTTAATACATTTTTCATTCTCTATTTATTCTCTGCATCGTAAGTTGTGGTAATAAATATGGTAAACATAAAAAATCAAATACCAGGGAAGAACAAAAACTACAAGTAAGTATCCTGAAGGATGTCTTAGGAAAGAGAGAAGGTATTGATTTTCGATCAGGGCTTTCTTTGGTTTCTGGCATAGAACTTTGGATAGGGTCCTCAAGCAAGTTTTAGTCATGACATTTAATACCACACTAGAGAAAAGGCTTTTATTTCATAGTCTGGGGTAAGGAAAGATTGTGAATTTGTGAATCATGCCTTGAGACCTAAAGTAACAAGTGTGTTAATTTCAGAATTTGACGTGGTTAAGGATCAGAAGGAGAAAATGACTCCTGAAAAGTCTGAGGGTAAGTATGACAATGTCCTGATGTGCAGGAAGAGATTGTACCAAATCTAGGGGTGTTTAGGGCCAGGGGCAGGCATACACACCACCATGAAGGGGGATCAGGAGATTTCAGCCTGACACCACTTTATTCTTTTACTCATCTACAGGAATCATTGCCACCACTTTCATATCTGAAGTCACATATCTAGGCTCTTTGAAAAGTAGTTCAGAAAGCAGACTGTTTGTGGAAGTACCAGATCAATGAAAACTCATACTAAACTGGGAGAAGTGAAAAGCAATAATTTATATTTTTGAGTATTTTCACATACCTATGAAAATGGCTGCTGTTCACAAACACATTTGTAAACTATGCTAGTTGACATTTTGGTAGATGCGAGACCAAAAATTCCTTACAACTCTTGTGTCATACAATTTTCCTATCAAATTGAGTTATTCATGAGCATAGGAACAGGAATTTTTCTTCAGAAAACCAAGAGTGTGGATGAAAATGAGGACAAATCGTTATCTTGCTTAAAATAACTACACAAATGTTAAAGTGTTCACCAAAACATTTCTTAATTTTCTCTTTTAGAAATTAAAAATAGTTCTATTACTTATACATTTTGCTTATGTAATTCCAGTTGACATGTTCTTTTATGTCATATTTAGAAAGGTATTTCATATAAAATGTCCAAATAATTCTTGTTAAAATGTTTTCTTTGTTTCCAGATGTTTCAGGGTTCAATTTCTCTAAAAGTATACTCTATTTTACCTTTATACTAAAAAATCTGCTTGGCTTAGTACATTTAAACATTTCTGAGGTAGAAGGATGTCTCACATTTCCTGATATATATATCATACCAGAATGTTGTGTTTCAAGGTTTGCCAAAGTCCACCTTCATATTCACAAGGTGTTCACTGTATGTTAGCCTAAAAGTATACTTAGGGTTCTGGTTCAGTCCCTTTGGAAAAAAACAATGTCCATGGACTTTTTCATACCTTTAACCTTGCCTCAGAGAAGTTCTACTCATCATCCCCAAGTGCTGTTTCCTTACAGATAAAGGGAAATCAAAGAAGTAATTGAATACAAGTACAACAGACCTCTGCCAGCCATGTCACTGGGAAATAATTCTCAATAAAAATTTACTGTTTTCTGCATCAAATTCTTTTTATAATGTTTTCCATCATGCTTTTAATGAAATGATTAATACTTTCTCATCACTGTACAGTAATACTGTACATTTCTGAATGGAAATTAATGGTTGGTCAACCAGTTTTCTGTGACACTAGAGGGCTGCATATCTGTAACTCTGACCTGAATGTACCCTAACTCTTGAGGGATCTGAACTCAATGTGATGAGTAGCAAGCGCTTTGGCAAGTAAAGGAGTGTAATCCTGGTGTATCTGGCTGTCTTCGTGAAGGTTATAAAGTAGGACATGATCCCTTTGCTAATTGTAATTCTCTAAAAGAGCTATATCCACATTCCTTCCCCTCCCCCTGGAGGTATTTGAGAATGAGTCAGAGCCCAACCTACGGCCCCTGGGTGGCAAGGGCAAGCAAGTGATGGGTGTGGCAGAGAGGCTCCCCACAACATGTGGTCTGAAGAGGTCCTGCCAAGTAGAGGGAGTACACTGGACCCCTTCTTGCCTCAACTGAATTCCATTACGGAGACTTTTTGAGTTCAATAAATGACAGCAATGAATAGTGAAGGGATGTAGGGGGAGGGGTTACTGTAGAAAATTGAAGTGGGTCAACTGAAGCTGGAGGCATCCTAGGAAGGGGTTCTAGTATTCCTCAATTCTCACTGCTCCCACCAATCCCATTTGGAACATCAGGCTGGAACTCTGATCCAGTCCTTTGCCATTCCTTCATTCCTAGCATCTACTTTACAGGCTCAGTTACTATGGACCGCAGTGTGACTGGGCAATCATAAGTCCTTGGTCCCTTCAGAGGGGCATGACAGTGCAGCACCCTGCCTGCTCCTCTCATCGTGGTTTTAAGCTTTTGTGACTGAGGCCTAGAAGTGAGATACAGCACTTGCTCTCCTAATCTCTGCCCTCTGGGATGCACAGGCCTGACCCTGATTCCCCCATTCCCCCTCGGGATACTTACAGAGCAGCCTAGCTTGCTCACATTACTGCAAAGGTAGCTGAGGTCCAGTGAAAACCTCAGCATGGGTACAGTGGGCAGGTGGTCCAGTGCCCCCAAGTGGTGATGGACCAGAAACCCCCTCTCTACCAGACGTCAGGAAAGTCACTTTGGGTTTAGATGGTTGGTTTTAGGTGTATGGCTTTGCTGCAGATCTCTGAGATTCTCATTTTCTAATGGTTTGTCTTTTTCTTTTTTTCTTTCTTCTTCCTTTTCTTTCCAACCTTGGTAGAAGCTTTGCATTGACTGGGTCCTGAAGGCACAGGCAGTGGCAGAGTCCTCCTTACTACTACCTCCTTGTCCCACGTCTGAGAAAGAAATACATTCATCACAGCACAAACATATTGATACAGGAACAACACTGTTGAGAGTGTTTGCACTGTATATTGGTAAGGATCAGGTCCTGTTAGCCATTCAGTCACTAGCTGGGGCGTGGAGGGTAACGGATCCAGTGGAGTCAACAGAGTTGTGCCAAACGCCCTTCATTTGGCTTCAGTGAGGCACTCAAAATAACCCATCCCCCAAAGGTCAGGAGCAGAGCACAGAAGGAGCTCACCTTTCCCTTGGGACTGACCTGTAGATTCAGGTCTTGTGGCAAGAGCTGATAGCCACGCAGTGGGCAACAGCTGGCAAGACCACTAAAGTCCCGCCAGCAGGCCTGAGGCCTTGTCAGCACAGGCCCAGGCTGTTTGGTGCCATGTGGGCTTGTAGAGGCCTTGGGATTGGTGATGAGGTCCTGTTGAGTCCAGGGATGCTTCCCACCCCTTCTGGGGACTATGTCTGCCCATGACCTGTTCCAGGACCAACTCAGGACATGAGGATTCTCTGGGACTGGCCTTCCAGCTGCTGATATCTGAAACTCTTGATGTTTTTGTGAATAACTTCAGGATGGTGACAGTGAGAGATGGCCCTGTTACCCCAAGTGGTGATGGACCTAAAACAACCTGGCTACTCTAAGGTCAGGGAAGTCAGTTTGGGTTTAGATTGTTGGCTTCATAGGTTGAAGTGTATGGCTATACTGCAAGTCTCTGAGATTCTCATTTGCTTAAAGGTTCATCTTTTTCTTCATTTTTTTGTCCTTTTTTCTTTTCTCTTTCCTTTATTTTTTTCAGTCTTGGGGGGAAGGCCTTGTAGTGGCTGGGTCCTGAGGGAGCAGATACTGGCAGACCCCAGGTTGCTACTAAATTGTCCCAAGTGGAAGAAATAAATATACTTATCACTGCACCACAACACTGATATAA